CCATTAGCATTTACTAACTCTTTAGTTGTTGAGCCTTTGGGGAATGTGGTTTCTATGCCTGCTTCCGTTTAAAATAACCTTCGAAATTGGTTTGGGTGGGGGGGTTTATGATTTTTTTGGTTTATCAAGTTTTGATCGGTTGGATAATGTGGCTTTGGTGAACTTGTTTACCATATGTTCTGAATAGTCGTTGTACAGGACGTCTTTTAGGTTTTGTACTCCCAGGTTGGGGGATTCGGGGTCATAAATGGTTTTGGCTCTTTTAGTAAAAGTGGTGATAATGCCTGCTTTTTACGCATTTGGGTGATTAGATTTGTAGTAGATATATTGGTCGATGTGTGTTGGTTTTCTGTACACTGAGGTGCGGTGACATTGGAGTTATCTCTTCTTACCATTACATTAAGAAATGGGAGGCTGCTGTTGGTTTGATTCTCCATTGTGAACTTCATTCTTGGATGTTGGTTGCTCAAGTGATTCAGGGGGACGACAGTATCATCTTCTTTTTGTAACATGACGAAGGTGTTATCCATCTTTCTGAACCAGAAAATAGGTTGAAAAGGAGCGGTTAGATTGCCTTCTTCTGGTGACATCATGTAAATATCGGAAATCAGCGAGGATAAAGGATTTCCCATCGATAAACCATGGATACCTCCATAATAGTTTTTTCCCCATGTGAAATATGTGGATTCCAGGCATTGCTTGATCAAAGGAATAATGGTATCAACTTGTAGTGATGTGTCCAGTGGTGTAGAAAGTTGTCGAATACGGGTTTCAAGAACTCTGAAAATCAAGGCTTCTTCTCTTGGCACATTAGTGAGTGGGTCGACAAAACCGTACGAGTCCTTAATGAAAATATCACTATGTCTGGAAGATCTACGTATATCATGAGTATGACAAATCCTACAGATTGTATTTAGAAGAAATAGAATGGACGTCAGGAGCTTTTCGGGTCATCAACTAAATCAGCTCCCTTCTCCGAGAGCCGAGCTATATAAAACCCGTACAAACTCGTGGACTAATAGTGAAACGTTTAACAAAAAAATTAATGTTGAACGCAGAAGTTTACATAGGCAGGAAGGATGATATTTGTAGGCTGAAGTTGATTTAAATCGTCACCCTGCCCACCGTTCCCCCTCCTCCGTTTTCTCGTCCTTATCCAAGATGGAATGGGATTTCGCGTTCTTAAGTTAGTGTTATGTTCTAGTGAACCAATAGTGAAACTTTTAACGAAAACATTAATGTTGTACGCGGAATTCGAATTCACCCACCCTTGTGGGGGGGGGGGGGTAAAGGGGGTGTTCTTAAAGGAGGAAGGAAGGGTCTTCTTAAGCATCTGAGGTTGGTCGACATATGCACTAAAGTTGATCGTTGTACGCAAAAGTCGAATTAAATCGTCGTTTTGGTCATTTCAGCCATGGGTCGCCCGTTTTGTCGTTCTTATCCGGGATAGAAGGGGATTTTGCGTTCTTAAGTTAGTGTTATGTTCTAGCAAACCAATAGTGAAACTTTTCACGAAAAAATTAATGTTGTACGCGGAAGTCCAATTAACTCGTCTCTCCGGGGGATAAAGAGGGTGTTCTTAAGGGAGAAAGGAAGGGGCGTGGGTCTTCTTAAGCAGTGTTTTTGGCGACATCTGAAGTTCGTCGACTTATGCACGAAAGTTGATTGTTGTACGCAAAAGTCGAATTAAAACTCAAAATTTCGATGTTTTGTCAGACCCCCCACCCCCATGGGAACGGGACCCGCAACTTAAGGATCAAGGCTCAGAGTATCGGACACCGCTGTCCACTCATCTAGCATAGTATAAATTTTGTACGCGATTTGATAATAAATTTATAGGGTCTAACATTGATAGTTTTTGAGATATTGACTGGTGTTTTTTCTGATTGGTCGACCATGACATTTGACCCCGCCCCAAACAAAAACTTTCACCAAGCGATCATGATGGGCCATTTGCTAAACTACTCATACCGCTTTTAAAAAGATCCAGTGGTGATGGGGCCCCTTAGAATGTTAAAGCTATCCAAAAATGTCGGGTTTCAAATTTTCCGACCCCTTGACCCCTCTGGGAGAGGTATTTTTGAAATTGGGATCCCCCTGAACGAGGGCATGGCTATCTCCGCCAATAATAGTTGGATTTTCATGATCTAAATTTCATTCTCGTGTTTTTGTATCATGCCGAGCCCATCTATGATACACTTAAAGCGAATGGAAGTAGTTTCATTGACTTCAAGTGGGAAATACCAATTTCCGGGTTCAAACTTGGATTGATTTCAGCCAATAATCTTTGGATTTTCATAATTTGAAATTCATTCTCGTTTTTTTTTTCATAATGCCGACCCGACTTACAGCCAATGGAAGTAGTTTGCATTGACTTCCGGTGGTGAAATACCCATTTCCGGTGTCAAACTCGGATTGATTTCAGCCAATGATCTTTGGATTTTCATAATCTGAAGTTCATTCCGGTTTTTTTCATCATGCCGACCCCATCTATGATACACTTAAAGCGAATGGGAGTAGTTTTTATTGACTTACGGTTGGAAATACCGATTTCCGGTGTCAAACTCAGATCGATTTCAGCTTAGAGAAATCTATCACGCAGCACCACTTTTTGTAACTTCTGAAGCATGGAAAAATGATTCATGCGGTCACTTTTGGGTCATTGGAATTTTCTGTCATGAGATTCAAGACAAATTTGACATTTGTAACAAGTAAACAAGTTTAATATCAAAAACAAAAATAAATCATAACAAAACCAGAAGTCGCTAGAAACGAAAACAACGAAATTCCTATCTTGAAAATAAATACAACGCAGTCCACTACATAAGCGATTCTACATCCTCGTCCCCTTGCACATCCCAGATATTGGCACGCTCCCTATCAAAACCCTTGAACAGAGATGTACAAGGTGGACTATCATTCCGGCAACTGCACCGCCCCGTGCAGCCTGTTTTACAACCACGTTCTGTTAGTTTAGTTAAAGCACGCTGGTGTGGCAGAGTAAGATTTTGCACAGGAACATGCATGCCTTTGTCCAACTGACAGCCAGTTTGTTCAATGACAGGAAGGTTCGGGGATCTGGTCGCGTACGACTTGTCGCGCACGGAGGTGTAATTCACCAGCTCAGTAATGATTATTTCTTTGAAAAGTTCTTGAAACAGTTGATTACAGGGTCGTCACCATCAAGCTTAAGGTATACACAAACCCATATTTTCTTTGTGGTGCCCTCAAACTTACATCCCCAGTCAGCACCAGAGAGGTTGTGAAATCCAATCAGGCCTTGACACTTGTGACTTCCAATGACACGTAGTCGCTCGATCACATGTATCTCTCTATATTTAGCTGCCGTCGCAGTCAAAACCTTGAGATGAGTGCGAAGATCTAGATACAAGGTGTTGGAGAATTGTGAGGACATCACTATAAGCTACAGATGCAAGGACTTGGTGAGGTTTGAGTGTGTCATGAAAATCCAAAGATTATTGGCTGAATTCGATCCGAATTTGACGCCGGAAATTGGTATTTCCTACCGGAAGTCAATGAAGACTACTTCCATTCGCTTTAAGTGTATCATAGATGGGGTCGGCATCATGAAAAAACACCAGAATGAACTTCAGATTATGAAAATCCAACCATTATTGGTGGAGATTGCCATGGCCTTGGTCAGAGGGATCCAGATTTCAAAAATGCCCCTCCCGGAGGGGTCAAGGGGTTGGAAAAGTTTTGGATAGCTTGTCTAACATTAACCCAACACAATAAAAAAAATTAATTTTAGCATACAAATCCTACGGGATGACATGTCATACCACACTATACCCTATACAGTATTTCTGTGTCTAGAAACTTTGGGATTAAGATTAATATTTAAAATTTTTTTATAATCCCGATGCATCTTAACAAACTATTAAAACTACAAAATGTTAGTATAATAAGTGTTTCCCTTAAAGTGTTAACACGCTTTGATAATTAAGTAATTGGTTCTCGGAAATGAATCAGTCTTTAACAAAATATGTTTTCCCATAAAAAAAATCTCAGAAAACTATAAAACTTTCTTATATAGTGAGTAACTCTGGAGGTAATTACCGGAAATAGTTAAAAACCATTAGGAATCATCCTTTCATTAAGTTGAGCAACTTGTTATAATTTCCAAATTGTTTTATAATACCCAGTCCTTAGGGTATTAACGGGCAGACAGTACTGGAGAAGGGTAATTGTCGGAAATGGTTTTATGTTCAGAGGCGCCCTACTTCTAACAATTTGAACAACCTTTTAAAATATAGCTTATATGCAAGGTAACATACGCCTATTAGCAGCTTCACCGTCCACGTCGTAATAAAACTGCGTTGTATCATTTTCTCCCTTATATATGTTCACAAGGTTTTCGGATTTGAGACCTGTACTGTAAATAATTATACCGATTCAACTCTTGTCAGTACAACAGGCTAATATCCTTAACTTAACTTAATTCTAACTATTCCTGAAAATTCAAAAAGAGGACATAAATCCCTGGCATAAGTCATGTGTAACAAGACTGTAACTACTTTTTTGAAGCTTTCAAACTCGAGAGGGGGGTCCATATTTTCACAATATTAATTACTCCTGAAAATTTTCTGAAAAGCTGCGAAGTCTGTTGAGTGACTATGAGTAATCTACGTGCATAAACAGTCATATCAGTCAGGTGCCTTAACTAACTCCGGAAAAATGATATTAATTTTTTCGGACAATTTCAGTAAAATCGGCCATGAATTTAACTTTGTAGAGTTTGTACAAGCAATTGTAGACGGACGGACGAATATGATTCGTCTCTACTGTATGATTTGTTCTGTCGTTACTTTTGTTTTGCAGTTATCCCGCATTGTCTTTTAAAAATGTGTCAGCACTTTAGTGATCCCAGCACTGGATAATAAATTACTTTTAAAGAAAAAATTAGTAGAAACATGACTGAATGACCGACTAAGAATATAGGCTGGCATATATAGGTATTTGTTTTATTATAGACCTACCTTTAATGCAATCGGACGGATCACAATTTGGTCCCGTGTTAAACGTTGAAGTAGAACCGCTCATTAATTCCCAGTCAAAAACGTCATCCTTGGCCTGAGTCCACCCACACAAACCATTATTAAAACCACATGACATCGTATCTTGTATGTCCCCTACAATGAAATAATATTCATTGTGTGTCACGCGTATCCAAAGATTGCTGCATATTTCATAACGTATTTTTGGCCAATGCCACGAATAGATTTTAATACATATATATATATAAATCTCCTCATTTCCGACTGTTGAACTCTAAACCGGTAAATCAAGGAGTTAATATCCTCCTAAATCCCTTATTCAGCTAATTAAGACGAAATCCAAGTCAGATAAACATGCTTCTCTCAGTGTACGGCATCTGTCACACCTATAAATGCATATAAAGTAATACCAAAATATACGTGTCAATGAAAAAAGAACTGCAGTGATAGAAGTCACACGCATACTATACATATATCTTACAATCTTTAGGTGGTGACCATCAAATATATTGTATTGGTATTTATATTTGAATAGTGTATAGCCTTATCTTATGAATTGAGAAGTTAGCAATTTACATCTTCCCAAGAAGTCATCATATAGTACTCAAGCTCTGGCATATCCGTTCCATGGAGAAATAAGCTGGCACATGGGCACACTAAAAATGAGTGGCGCAAAACTATTAATGCCACCCAATTAATTGTATTTAAGTGTCCTTCAACTCGCTAAAAAAATAATGTCACGTGTATCACTTTCTTCGAGAAGATGATTGATTTGTGGATTTAAATTCCCAAGATTCCATATATTTCTGCAAAGTATGTTTTAATCTACGGTATTCCTCGCTTCTTTAGGAACTAAGACATTACTCTCAATTTGACTTAGGAACATTAGTTAGTTTTAAACAAAAATAGCGATTAATGATTTTCTTTATACAAGATGACAGCACTTTGAACCAGTCTTTATACAGACAGCAGGCCAATAAAGTACAATTCCGTTCTTAGCAGCTCGAGCAACAAAATATATAAAGCAGCTCTCATAGCTTTTTGCCCTGACATGATGGTCCTTGAAATAACAGTGTTTTAACAACTTCTCTATAATTGTTATTTTGGCGATGTAAAGAACAATCGCCAAGTTGTTTACGTAGAGGTTTCTCAGGAGAGGGGACTCACATATGATGATCGTATTATAACCCTCCCAGATCAACACATTTGGTGTCGTGTTCACGAATAATACTGTGATCTGCGAGTGGAAGACATCTGGAACGCGAACATTTCGAATGATGAACCCTGTTTGATATTCTTGATGCAATACGATAATTGTTGAGCCGTTTGAAAAATCTTTAATGAACTATGTTGGAGATTTTTTTTACCTTAATCGAAGAGCGTGAGCACAATACAAGCTATTTGCAATCTCTCTACTGCCCAGGTAAAACGGTATTTTCTTTATTAAATGTTCTATGGAAAAGGAACGTAGGCTTTCATATGTTTTATTTCATAATAATGACTACTAGGGTCTGAGAAATAATAAAATTCAATATATGTCTTTTTGATGTGGGATATAATTATAGATACAGTATAATTATTAGCTGAAGCTTTTTGTTTGCAAATCTACAATTCATACAAGAATAAATAAGCTTCGAAAATCAACATTGTCTAAATGACGACATATTTGCAAAGCATTGCGTGCTATTATAAATATGGAATTGTGCAGAGGGTCTACTTGTGATTGGTATTTCCCTTTGCTACACACCATCAAAAGTTGTTCCCGGTAAAATCATCACAAGTGCTAACTGCTCCTACTAGACAAATTAGCTACATGTTGAGCTTCTGTAATATTTGGGCTACTAACACACTATATTAATTTAGTTTTTGTCACCCAGACAAGGTAATGGTCGTGTTTGCCGCACTGGCGGCAGGCGGTTTCTAGTACAGATTAGATCATGTGTTGGCATCAAAGATAGATTTAAGAGTACGAAAAAAAACATTTTTCCAATGGAAATAATTTGGAGATACTTTGAAGGTACCACTAAATTGTTCTAACTTGAAGGTCAACAATCTTAATAGTAAAGGCATCATTAAGTGTACAATAGACAGCGGAATTGATTGAATTTCGTCAAGTAAACAAAAAATAATTACTCAAAAATTATGAATTCGGCGAGTTTGTTTCGAAGCCATCACTTATTTTTTGTTCTGGTATGTCATGGCTATAAATGCTGCCCATACTCGAACTCGATAACTTTGACAAAAACATTAATCTTTCGTGATAAATTAACGCTAATAAGAAAGTACACCATTTATTTAGATTGAAAAGTGGAGGTAACTCTGGAACGGATGGTCACAGAATGTTCTCGCATGACCCAATGCTTCCCACTAAATTTGAAAAAAAGATCCGCTAAAAACTCTAGCCTCTATCGCGTTCAGACGCCAATTGACGGATGAATTGACGGACAGGGTGACGTCATCATATGCCGCCAAAATCGAATGTAAAACAATTGTGAATTATGTTTGCAAAGAAACCTTTCGGTATAAATTTCAGAATTAGTTGTTCCAGAGACCCCAAAAATAATATTAGGACTTATTGTTTGCTACACCAATATATAAAAGAAATTGGCTTGGTTTAGAACTACCATTTACTAGTGATGATAAGATATCACAGGAGCCAACAATGACGTCATCAACTGCCATATCACTCTTATAACTCGTGCCAGCAATAGCTTCAATGACAATCTGAAAATACAATGTGGACATACTTACTGGAGACTTGATCTAGTTCAAAATATAGTAACATATGTTGATTATTAAGGTACCCGCTTCCCCCTCCCCATCCCACTAAGCGGTGTGTTTGGACCTTTACGTCACATCACGACTTGACTTGTAGTAAGAACGTATGGGTGGGACAATAATGATTCTACAAAATACAAAACGGGCTAAATTTAATAGCCCCCCACCCCCACACCCAAACACACCCGTCGCTCACACCATAAAACACGCCAACTTTGAGGCCCGGTACAGAGCAAACGAGAATACATTAATTGTATTAAATCTAAAATTAGAATTTTTTGCGGAAGCTAACCTATTGCTGATTTCTAAAGATCCGTTTCTGTAAAATGTCTTAAAATAGCCTGCGATATTTTGTACCGAAACACATTACACAGTATTGGACTTTATTCAGAATTGTTTTATTTATAAAATGTATATACCTCAAAGCTACTGTACTCATCGAGAACAACTGCTGTCATATGCCAATCTTGACCTTGGTCACCACTTTGACTAAATTTCTTCATGTTTTTACCACTCACTCGCTGGTAAACGTTCAGCTGGCCCATGGTAGACCCATACATACTATAGTAGAACCTATAGCGTAAACATAGAAGCATACAATATGCACGCCGATATATTGTTTTTATTATTTAAAAATAATATTTGCACAGTATAGTCAACATGCAATGACGGCCATGTTTGCTACACATGGGGTTGACAGATTTTATTTATTGGTCGTATAGGAAATATAATCTTTTTTGTCAAAAATATTTTTTCGTGTTACTCTAGATAGTCTAATTACCTCGAAGGGCACATATCTTCAGCAAGATTTCGTTACAAATGAAATCGTTGGAAATCAATAGATATTCTTTATTTCAAATAGCCGGACAACCTATCTGAATATCAGATGGTAACTGTGTATTAATCAGAATTCATTTTTAAACAGAGTCATTTCTTTCCCCAGACATCTTTATTATTGTTTATGGTTGTGTTAGTGGTGACCAATATCTTACAGATTTGTTTCTTCGTCTTAGCTATAAGTAAAAATATGTTACACATTCTATACAGGTAACTGGGTGTTTGATATTGGCGTCGATAATCGCATTTTATTTTTGCTTTTGTTTAACAGATTTAATGACTTTAATCTTTAATCTTTACTTACACTAAGCAGGCTTTTGTTCCAGAAAAATCAAAACTAGGAGAAATTAATCTTGCAGCATCACCCTCTTCACAGGGCCTGGAGCTCTCCAGAAATATGTAATAACCTGAAAGCAAATATCAGAACCGTATTAGTAGCTTGTATTCCGCCGCTAGTCAAAATAATTTTAATATAAATTGATCCTTATTTGTAATTGTGTGTAATCGGCTCTAAACATAAATTATCCAAATAATATATTGAAAATGTTTCCAAAATGGAAAAAAGAAGAAAACATTTAAATAGAAAATGTATTGTAATCTCAAAGCATGCATTCATCCTCGAACACACAACTGAAATTACATGTACTTAAAGAATGGGCTTTTGGTCTATTATAAGGTCTTTATGACTTTCGTGCTTTAATATATTGTGACATCGTTGTTTGATCAAAACTCTACTCTTGCTACTACTTGTTAATGGAAATATTGTCTCCCAGCAACCTTTTTTTGTAGTAAATATTTAATTTTATAACAAAATTCAAATTGTTACAAAATTTAATGTTTATTACAAAACCGGATGATTTTAGTTTCTGAGTGCGTCTCTAATGAAGCATCGATTTCATTGGATTTACATCGATTTGGTGGGCGATGACCACCTGCCTTTGTTCAAACTTTTCCGTCTATATAAATATATATATAGAACATGTTGAGGTATAATTATTTGTGTTTCTTTCTTGACAGCCACATAGATAACAAACCTCATCTCTCAACCCTCCGTGTTCCGGGATAAGAGATGATCCGATAAAGTTCCGCGTAGCAAAGCTGAACGCGAATCACATCCGGCCTCAGTAAGCAAAATTGACAATATTTTTCTTCAAAACAACGACTGATTATTGTTATTTATAACATTTCTGCCGCATCCCACCTGACACGGGTACAAATCCTCTCTTTTTAAATCAAAGCGATAGTAGATTGCTTTTTCCGACATTTTAAATTTACGTCTTTAACACATAAAGGCGGGGCCTCGTGTGCAATAGCCAATCAAAGTACTAACCTGATCAGAGTTGCGCAGGAGTAATACACCGTAATTATGAATGTCCGTATCAATTTTGATAAAAACAACGCTTGATTTACTTTATTGTCAATATTTGCTGATAAATGAATATTGTTTCAGTAGATTGTGCTGCGTATGTGTAATAAGTACTAATAGTATAAAATTAACTTATATGTTACATGCATTAATAAAGAAATTGAGTTTGCCACTTTGAACTAAAGGCATCCAATCGCAGCTAAAACAAGCACATCGGTATATCTCGACGTTTTTATACGCCCACATGGAAATGTGGTCGTATATTGACGTCGCCCCTGTGAACACTCTACAGACTACATTTATCATGTTGTTTGCATTAAGCGGTGGACACACTAGCCGAATCAATCGGCGTCGAAATTCGCCTAGTGTGTCCACTGTCATTCGGCCGAATGATTCGCCCGAATCAAACAGGTTTGATATATTCGGCCGAATTATATTCGCCTGGTGTGTCCGCTTCGCCGAAGCATTCGGCCGAATGTAGAATTCATTAGCCAATCACCACTCATATCGAGAAGTCACGTGATAGTTTGAAGACATAGACGCCGCCATGTTTAACCATGTGACATGAAAGGTGATGCAATCGACCGGTGAATCGGGCGAAGCATTCGGCTAGTGTGTCCACCCATTCGGCCGAATAAAATTCGGCGCCGATTGATTCGGCCGAATGATTCGGCTAATGTGTCCACTGCTTTAGTGAGATGAAGAATCCTATTTAATTTCAATAACTTCAGTTAATTTCTTCTGGAGTTATGGCCCTTGTTTCACTTTGTTGCACCTTGTGAACGCTCTAACGACAAAAGTTATTAACCGATCAGTATGAAATTGTTATGCATCATTTAAATTAGTAAAACAAAGAAGCCTTTTGAATTTCTGTTAATTACATCTAGAGTTATGGTCCTTGTTTCACTTTGTTGAATCTTGTGAACGCTCTAATGACAACAGTTATCATCCGATCTGTTTGAAATTAGTGAATTAGTGAAACGAAGAATCCTATTGAATTTCAGCAATTTCCGTTAATTATGCCGTGAGTTGTGGCCCTTGTTTCACTTTGTTGTACCTTGTGAATGCTCTAACGACAAAGGTTATTATCGGAAATTTATATGCATCATTTAAATTAGTAAAACAAAGAAGCCTATTGAATTACGGCAATTTCCGTTAATTACATCTAGAGTTATGGCCCTTGTTTCACTTTGTTGAATCTTGTGATAGTCTCTATCATCCAGAAAAATATTCTACGAATATTAGTCTGGATGCGTTGTCAACATTTGAGAAAAATTGGCTAGATAATGAGTGACCGAGACTAATCTTGTGAACGCTCTAATGACATCATCCGATCTGTTTGAAATTGATATGCATCATTTAAATTAGTGAAAGGAAGAAGCCTATTGAATTTCAGCAATTTCCGTTAATTACGCCGTGAGTTATGGTCCTTGTTTCACTTTGTTGTACTTTGTGAATGCTCTAACGACAAAAGTTATTGTCCGATCTGTATGAAATTTATATGTATGGTTTAAATTAGTAAAACGAACAAGCCTATTGAGTTTCAGCAAATTTCCGTTAATTACATCTAGAGTTATGGCTCTTGTTTCACTTTGTTTAATCTTGTGAACGCTTGAACGACAAAAGTTATCACCCAATCTGTATGAAATTCATATGCATAATTTAAATTAGCGAAATGAAGAAGCCTATTGAATGTCAGCAATTTCCGTCAATTACTTCTAGAGCTATGGCCCTTGTTTTACTTTGTTGAACCTTGTGAACGTTCGAATGACAAAAGCTATCATCCGATCTGTATGAAATTTATATGGATTATTTGAATTAGTAAAACGAAAAAGCCTGTCGAATTTCAACAATTTCTGTAGAGTACTTCTAGAGTTACGGCCCTTCTTTTAGTTTTTAGAACCGTGTGAACTCTCAAACGACGAAAATTATAATGTCATCTGTATGAAATTGTCTATTAAATGCCCCTGATTACCTACAAAAGAATAAATATGCAACAACCCTCGTCGACCGCTCGGACGATTTAGCTGCTGTGGGGGTATATTTATCGACTCGTGTCAACATAATTTAAATAGCACTTACATTTCATATTGTATTTTGAAAACGCTTAAGGTCCTTCCTTAGTGCTTTTGCTAATGGTTTCGTTTGAAATAATGTATCTTAATTCCACAGTGTCTTAAGGGAATTTACAGATGGAAGTGTTTTTGCGTTTGTACAATTTTTGGTGCTATTTTCAGAATTAAATGTAAATGAGATTCAATTATGTTGTATTCAGTTTCTTGGAAGATTTCTTCAAAAGTTCTAGAAGTAGCATTGGCCCAAAGGCCGAAACTGTTAGAATGAATTGGCTTTACAGAATAGTTTTTGGCAGATAATCACAATAGCATGATACGCTTTTCAACAATGGCCATAAAGAAATATATTTTTTGAAATTTTCAGACATTAATTTGGGGTTTTTTTTTAATCTATTGTAAACTAAAATATTGTAAAAGATGAATCTCTGAAAGGAATATCGTTACAAAAATAATAATTCAGTTCCGTTCAGTATTATTAAATAACAAAGATATGATGAGTTGAGAATTTGTCAACATTCGGCAAGCTCCGTGGATGATATATATAATCGAGATAAGGTAAAAACAATTCAGTGACACCTGAAATATTCTCTAAAATCTTTTAATGTGCCCCTTTTTAATCCGACTGAATCCAAGAAGGGGAATTATCTACCGCTGATATTTTGCTTTCCTAAATTTAATTTTTAATAATCAGTTTTACATTTAAGAGAAGACGAATAGCGTTTTAAAGTGTTTCAGAAAAAGGTAGTTTTGGATTGTTGGCCATGCTAAGAAATCTTACAGGTTGTTAAAAGCATTGCGGTAATAAAACTTAGAAATCAGAATTAGAAAGATAGGTTGCCAGGCAGCGAAACATACGCTCACATCAGCTAAATCGTCCGTACGGGCAACAAGGGTTGTCGCATATTTAATCTTTTGAAGGTAATTGGGGGCATTTGCAAGATAATTTCATACAAATCAGATTATAATTTTCGTCCTTTGAGGGTTCACAGGGTGCTACAAACTGGAACAAGGGCCTTAACTCAGAAAGTAATACACAAAAATTGTTGAAGTTCGACAGCCATTTTCGTTTTACTAATTTAAATAATGCATATAAATTTCATACAGATCGGATGATAGCTTTTGTCATTCGAACGTTCACAACTCTAGAAGTCATTGACGGAAATTACTGACATTCAATAGGCTTCTTCATTTCGCTAATTTAAATGATGCATATGAATTTCATACAGATTGGGTGATAACGTTTGTCGTTCAAGCGTTCACAAGATTCAACAAAGTGAAACAAGGGCCATAACTCTAGATGTAATTAACGGAAATTTGCTGAAACTCAATGGACTTGTTCGTTTTACTAATTTAAACGATACATATAAATTTCATACAGGTTGGATAATAACTTTTGTCGTTAGAGCATTCACAAGGTACAACAAAGTGAAACAAGGGCCATAACTCACGGCGTAATTAAAGGAAATTGCTGAAATTCAATAGGCTTCTTCGTTGCACTCATTTAAATGATGCATATCAATTTTAAACAGATCGGATGATAACTGTTGTCATTAGAGCGTTCACAAGATTCAACAAAGTGAAACAAGGGCCATAACTCTAGATATAATTAACGTAAATTGCTGAAATTCAATAGTCTTCTTCATTTCACTAATTTAAATAATGCATGTACCTTTCATACAGATCGGATGATCACTGGGTCCGACAAAATGAAACAAGGCCCATAAAGGATGCATATAAATTTCACACAGATCGGGTGATATTTTGTGTCTTTAGAGCTATTAACAGGGTGCAATAAAGTGAAACGAGGGTCATAACTCCAGAAGAAATTTGCGGAAATTATTTAAATAGGCTTATTCATTTCAGTAATGTAAATAACATATATCAATTTCAAAACAATTAAATCATAAATGTAGTCTGTAGAGTATTCACAAGAAAGTGTGGACGACGGACCGGACAGACGGAACGTCGGACGGACGGAGGCGACGGCAATATAAACTCTTATCCAGATTACTATGTTTTATTTAATAACGACCCAATACATGTACTGATAGCTGTAGAAAACAACAGCACAACAGAACTGGTATCAAGTGTTCTAGAAAGTACACATAACCCCAAAACATTTGTTTGTTAATATGCACAATGCAATTGTTTTTAGATGTGATATAAGGTGAGCTAGAAAGAGTCGGTAGCCACGCTGACTCAGTGTGAAAGCGCGCGATCAATAAGGGGGGAGGGGTCCCGGGTTCGATTCTACTGTTGGCTGAGAAAAATCCTCGAGATTTGCCATCGCAAGCTCTGGCAACGTGCAGTGTCTAGTCGTACGAGTGGGGTGAAAAACTGAGGCCCCGTGTACACACTGGGGTGCACGTGAAAGAACCATTGACCATTGTTTTCATATCATTCATATTTCATATAATATATTATATACCTTCTTGTGTTCCCATTGTCCGATCTTCTTTAGGCCCCGTTTGTACACTTGGAGTATCACGGTTATTAAAGGTCCAATCCTGATTATCCAGCTTGTCCTGTTTCCATCCACAAGAATTATTTCGGTCAAAATTACAATAGTGAAGTTTGCCACCCTTGTAAGAGGCTGGAAATAGAAAACACAATAAGAAAACTAAAATTATTCAAACTAAACTAAAGTTCATGTAATGAGAGTGGTCTAATATGGGAGGGTATCGCTGCCAATATTCAATGCTCTGCTAAACTGCCTTTTCGATGTAAAAAGTACAATGTACAAATTCCTAATACCGGTAATGATAAAGTCAAAATACCTCTAAGGCCAAAGTTAAATGTAAAACGTCAAAAGTAATGTGTAAAATGACAAATGTCTTATTCAAAAGTGCTATTTTTTGACGTGTGAACATTTTACATTTCTCTCATTACATTTTACATTTGCGCTCTGCCGCATCTCATTTGTCCTTCACGCTTTCTACATAGCATCTTCCGCACAGCACTATCTTTTGATATGCAAATACAGGATATCACGTGACTTATTAACAAACGGAAACGACGCCGAGATCAACCTGGTACACTATAAGCCAGCACACTATAAGGGTATTCACCACACAATAAGAGGAAATCAAGCTGACACACTATAAGAAATTCACTGGACGACCGTTACTACAATGAAATCTGTGAATGTTTTGACTAATCCGAGCCTTCGACAAATACATAAATTGAAAGTATAGTCTATCTTTAGCAATTAGGTTAATGTTTGACAGCAACACATTTCTTTCGACAAAACGAGGATTTTTCTTTCTGTTCTTAAGTACGTAATCATGAATGTGCCAGGAAATAAAACTGATATATCCAAAGAAACATACTTTCTAGTTATGTATAACACGATAACTAGAATTTCGTACTTTGACATTTTAAACTGGATTTTGACAATTCTGGATTAAGCTCCGCATTTTTAGTTCAACACCCCCCCGCCCCGCCGCCACCGCCACCACCGCCACCGCCCCTCCTTCAAATTCAACTGTAATCTTTTTATGAAAATATGAGTGTGCCAGAACATTATTTGCATATTTGAAAAGAGCAACGAACTTGCTAGTCAGTGATACGTAACATGATATCTGGAATTTCGTATTAAGACCCGTATTTTTACTTTAAATACCCCTTCCCCCATCATTTAATAGAGTTTCTTACCAACCGACGTTTTTCAAGGTATGCAAGTATGGATTTGCCAGAAAATTATTTACATATTTAAATAGGGCAACGAACGTGCTTTTCACTTATAGGTAACATAATATTTGGAATTTCGTGTTAAGACCCGTATTTTTACTTGAAATACCCCCCCCCCCCATCATTTAATAGAGTTTCTTTCAACCCGACGTTTTTCAAGGTGTGCAAGTATGGATTTGCCAGAAAATTATTTACATATTTAAATAGGGCAACGAACATGCTTTTCACTTATAGGTAACATAATATTTGGAATTTCGTATTAAGACCCACATTTTAACATTGAATGCCCCCACCCTCCCCCCGACACATACTCACACAAAGTCAATTAATAGAGGTTAGCATCATCTAAAATGATCGGAAAATCTGCCAGACAATTATTTACATATTTTTTCAAAAAGAAATGAACGTGCTTTTCACTGGTATGTAACATGATATCTGGAATTTTGTATTAAGACCCTTATTTTGATATTGCTTACCCCCTACTCCAACCACGTCTTGTAATCATGGTAATATATTGGATGGTAACATCCAAATTTGATCGTTTGTCAAGGCTAAGTAAATTTCTTATGGTGTGCTGGCTTATAGTGTACCAGGTTGATCTCGGCGCCGTGTCCGTATATGTTAATAAGTCACGTGATATCCTACATTTGCATATCAAAGATAGTGCTATGTAGAAAGCGTGAAGAATAAATGAGGTGCGGCAGACTGCAAATGTAAAATGTAATGAGTGAAATGTAAAATGTTGGCGCGTCAAAAAACAGCATTTTTCAAAACAACATTTATCATTTGACACATTACATTTGACGTTTTACATTTAACTTTGGCCTTAGAAGTATTTTGACTATATCATTACCGGTATTAGGTACATATACTTTTTACATAATCAATCGAAAAGACATTCTTGCAGAGCATTTAATATTGGCAGCTACACCCTTCCATAGTCTTGCGACTTCCATTTATTACCTCAATTTTATATAATACCCCTTCTTTTTTATAAAATAAGTAAACGAAAAAGAACCCCAAATCACCGTTTTCCACGATGTAACGTTTTATTGACCGACAAAGATGCCTTGAGAAAGGAACTAGTTTTATTTCAATATCCTTAGCACTAAATTACTTACGTAAACAAACAGGTAAGTTTCCAGTCCATTGTCCAATGTCCATACAATATCTGGCTCGACTTCCCACTAGTACATAATCAGCTGAGCAGTTATAATGAACAGCACTAGCTACTTGAAAATTATCCCCTTTTCTGTACCCAATCTTCGGAACACCAGCATCAGGACAATGGGTTATATCTTGCAACAGAGTAAGGTAAACAAATCTATATCTTAACATATCTTTCACAAAGTTGTTCTAGTAAAAGTTTACAATAATTTTGGTATAGGCAACACATAGAACATTACTGTTTACAATCAAGATCACATCCATCAGCAACTAAGGTGTCCGTCAGTTAATAAATGAAATGGGGTTTAACGTCCTACTATTCCGTCAGTTAAAAAAGATTGTTTTTATTTTAATCAAGACATAACCGATGCGTGACTGCCCCCTTATTACTACGTCACCAATCTTGCAAATTTGGAAAAACCAAAAATCACACAAATCTGGCCTCTTGCGCGATTACAAACAAGGCGAAGAACTTTGACAAAATAGAGATGTAATTCTCATTTTCAAAAGGGTTCATCCATTTTAATCTCAAAAACTCTCCGAATAATTGATGTGCGATTCGACTTTCGTCAAATTGTTACGAACAGTTAGTAGTACATGTAGTAGGCTAAAGTTAATGACCTCGTTGAACACCTTTTGTAGTTTTTTTTTTAAAATTGAACAACTTTGACGCTTGACATACAAAACACAATATCAATAGGAATTTATCTAGATACAAATTTGAAAATTTTCAGAGGTGTTTCGTTAGTTTTTCCACATATAAAACCAGAAATGGCAATACAATAACATTTCCAATATCCTAACCCGTTTAACGACGACCCGTAAACAAAATCTAGCAATTAAGCCAGGGTCAAATTAGTTCCGTCACAGATAAATTGATTTTATAAATGAATTCTCCTTGATTCCATTAAAGATTAGTGGATGTCCCGGGTTTCTGGTATGTTTCTGGTTGAGATAATGACATAATATTACAATTGAAATGTTGTACTCCTTGTGGACTTTTCTTATTGAAAATTCGTTTCTATTAATTTTAGTAAATGCATCAGCTAGATCTAAATCTGAATATTGTTTATGTTTTCTTACACCAAGCCCTTTCTTCTGTGTAGGGCCCAACATTTTTTTGAAATTACACTATCGAAATAGGACAGCTAATATGTAACAGACTTTTTAAAAAAAAAAAAAAAAAAAAAATTGGTAATATTAAGAAATCATTTAAAACAAATATTTTGTTCAAACTTTGACTTCTTTAGGGAATTGTGAAAATTATCCCCATATTTAAAAAAAAATAATTTATCACTTGTCAAATTTATTTGAAGTGACATAGCAATGACAGATTTTCAAACTTGGTTAAGAAATCATAAGGTGGATGTTGTGACTGTGTTCGATTATGAGCTTTTCTGCATGGGTTAAGAATTGATCAGCAATTTGATATGTCAATGCTTTGAGGCACGATAACTTTGATTCTAAATAAGCGAGAGTGATGGAATGTTGTGCATAGTAGAGAGGGTTAAACAGAAGTCCACGAGAATTTAGAGTTTAGACTTGACTTTCGTACGTGTTTGTAATGTGTCTGTGCTGTTCATGTTTGTAACGTATGGTTTGTGAATGAGATACTTTTTTTTAGGGTACATGTAAAAGCTTGTGTAATTTTGTATTATAGGTTTATTTACAATGAAATAATGGTTTAATTTTAAATAAGCTTAATGATTAAGATATACATTAAAATGTCAAACTAATATTAAAATAAAGTTTTAATTAAAAGTTATTAAAATTAAGAGTTATTAATTCGAATGTATTGAAGTCTGTTGGAACAATGAAATAGTTCAATTGAAAGGATATATTGTATATTGTACCAAACAAGGCCACTCAGGAACTCACTCAGGCTGCCTTACTACTTAGATCAAATTCAAGGTGCCGATTGCCAGTATTGAGAGTGGGGAGGTTTGCAATTAACAATTTGTCTGGTTCAAAAGAATAAAAATCCCGTCGATGGAGCCGCATTTTATTATTTGGGGGGAATCACAACACTAGAAGTCCAAGGCGAGATAACACTATATACCAATTAACGATCGCATTAAGGAATATGATATGGTCTTCGGGTAGAATTCTAAGAAGCTTAAAACCGGTAATAGAGGATTCAACGCAGACCTCCCCCCCCCCCCCCGAACATTATTGAAGAGGACACTATTTATCATAGTGACGTTATATTAAATGTGCAACCATGTTGTTTAATTTGTTTCATTTCAGTGTTAGAGTTTTGCCATCTATAAGTCAGCTATTATGGGACACCCATCAATGCTTCCTAGTTATCAAGAGCTTTCATAATAATAGGCCATGATAACGCCGTTCACATGTCTTGTGTCGTGGGACGAATGTAAAAGAATAGGGCTAGCCGCAGGCTAATATTGCTATAATGATAGTAAATGACCCCGAATTTGGTATGCTAGATATTTCAAATTCATAAACAACTTATATTTCGGATATTATCAGGGAGATTGTTTTTTCTTTAGAGATATTTTATTCTCTATAAATGAATGGGAGATCGGGAGATATGTAGACTGGAAATATACCAGTCAAGGGCGTCAACCTATAGTTTTCAGTGACATGAACAATAACTTTCCATAAAATCTCAGAACATTTCACAAAAATAATGAACAGACGTACGCAAGGGGCATCAATAATATACTGCTACATAAAATGTAGGTGCATATAACATGTGCTGGTATGTAGCACTATTTAGAAAGTAGGTTAACATACTTACTGCATCTATATAATCTGTTTACTTTAAGTATATCTGTATCCGATAGTTCTATACGCTGTCCCATTTCAACACCATCTGGCAATGGGAATTTACTTTTAATGGTTGGTTTAAAGCGATCATTGGCGAAAGTATTATTTTTATAATGCATAATGGAACCATAGTCATAGGGTGCTCCGAGAGTATCTATATCTTCTTCCGTATACTTTCTGAAATTACTCTTATGATCTGAAAGAGAAATATATATGTTTAAATGTAATCAAGCGCATCAATACTATATTATAATAATTTCTGTGGGTTTTGATTTTGTATTACGTACAATAAATCCTGGGAGGGTCACCATTTTAAAATTCAAGTATGTAATAAGTTGTGGTTCCTTATAAAATATGAATGTGATCAAGGATACAAGTGTAAATTGTTAATAATTACCTTCTGGTATATTATCCCACGCGATAGTGATATAGCTGTCTCTATCCGGTCGACTGTGTTCATGCCAAAATCCCAAAGCATGCATCAATTCGTGCATAATGGTCCCTTTCCGATCACAACCTGGACCAATAGATACCAGCTGCTGCCCACCACGTCTTCCAACTGGACTAAAACACCTACAATACAATAAAGAACACTAGAATTAACAGTTAGCCATTGCAGAAGATCACTTTCACATAGTAATATAAAATCTTTCAATTAGTGACAGCCAACATATTCCATAATATACGTCAGAAAAGAAAAGACTAACCCCATCTCGGAACGGATTATAATATAATCTGTTTCATCAGAACGAGGTACAAATCTAATACAGGTCTTTTCTTCAAACTCTGTCATAGCCAGCTTTATCTCCATTCTCTGTGAATGATCTGTAAATATTGTAGATATGTGATCTTAAACATTGATGGTAAGTGAAATGAACAGTGTACGGATATAAAGTAAGTCTAAATAACCGGTTTGCGTAAATGCCACCCTACACAACTATCTTAGAATTACACGATCTAATCTTTAAAACAAATCATGGTCTACAATCTGAAATCCTGTTTTGCACATTAAAAGTATGCATAAAAGGGATTATATAAATCTAATGGTGGATGATATAATAAATTATAAGCTAGAAGGAGTATAATGAATATCCATTATTTATTATCATGTTTGGTGTTAGAAGAAAACTTACCATAGGTATCTTCTATGATATAAGGCACTGTTCTGTTTAACCATGTTGCATGTATATCTCTAACAGCATTCCTTCTCTGTATTATAAAGATAAGTCGTCAAAAGTTTAAATAAATACTATTCTTGACAATGTGTTAAACTATGTAATTAAGGTAATTATAATGTAAGATATTTTTGCTGTACTGTGGATCTTAATATTACTTTATTTGTAAAAACAAACGATTGTTTTTTTTTATTTAAATATTTATTTTTAAATGTAAGTTATGTTGTTATGTGGTTGTATAAATTCAATTTATCTATCGAAATACTCCAGAAAGGAAGACATACACCTTTTCAAATGAAAAACAAAATTGCATAAAAATGTAATGTACTCAGACATGAAAATAACATAACATTGCCTCAGAGAGCCAGAAAAACTCAGCTTGTCGTGAGTACTAGGATCATGCCAATTCATGCACCATTCAAGACAATCAAGGTACAGTAAGGTTAATGAATAGTTTGTCGGAAATTTGTCTTATATAGTGGTCCTTTGAACAAATCGAAATAAGCATTCATACCTACCAAATTTGGTTGGAATCGATCAAGTGGTTTAATTTAAAAGTATTTTCGCCCTCTTTAGATGCTGCCACCCCGTACCTATGGCACTGATAACCCCTTTTGAACAAATAGAAATAAGTAACGCTGGGTAACATGCATGTCGATTTTTGTTGAAATCCATCTAGCGCACGGTGAGATTAAGCAGACGGAACCTCACAAATTGGGCCCTCTCCGGCATAAGAAAAATACATGTAGCCTGTATCAAGTTTAGCATGAACCACGAGAGAGGTACCTCCTCTATTATAGATGCTTCGCTATAACAACATTCGATTAAGCAGATTTTTAGCGTTGGTGCGTTTGGTTTCAAACTAGACTAATATTAGCTGGACATGGTTTATCTGTGGACGTTCTCGACGGAAATAACTACAAAACCATATTTTGCCATTTCAGCAATAGTATTATTCTCGAATACTCGAAACGTACGTCCACGAACAGACGGAAATAACTACAAAATGACATTTAGCCATTTCAGCAATAGTATTATTCTCGAATACTCGAAACGTACGTCCACGAACAGTTTGCCCTTCTGCAACATTTATTAGATAAGTGAAGGGGGTAACAGTGCCACATAATATTGGAGTGTTAGCATGTTTACAAGATTTCAAGGACGGGCAATAAATGTGTAACTCGTGTTGTGTAACTCGTGTGTTACAGGCACTCAGCTTTATCAATTTATACAGACAAACATTTGTACTGTCATGCCATTCAAACACAAACAAACATTTATAAATTCAAATCCTTTTTACAAAACACAAACGTTAGGCATATATGTGTGTGCACATCGAATATTAGAAGGGTCATTCCATGTCAAGTTAACCAAATTTGGGAAAGTTGGGAACATGACCCCTTCCAAAAAAATTATAAAAATATATGTTACAGTACATGGACTTAAGCTAACAAATCCAAAATTATACCTCTGTTGGCCGAAAATTCGCTGAGATATGGCCATTTTAAATTACGGTACTGAAACGGATCATAAATTCAGTAATTTCTATCGGGTTTTCTGGTGCTTTAAACTCTAAGATCTAAGACAACTTTTGGTGTAGATTATGAATTTAGCATCACACACGATGTTCAATTCACACAGTCCGTGCCACCAGGTTGCAAAATGTGGAACAAATGAACTATGCACTTTTTTTCAGGATTTCCTCAACCTCTGGCAAAGTCACTACTGCATGCACAACTTCCAAAATTGGCATAGTTAATGTCAGTTTGTCTTTTATCAATTTACAAAAAATTCTTAGTCGATGGGATATAACATACTTTTCAAATATTCAGTCTCGAAATTCAATGCACACTGAAAACGTACAAAATATACTCAGTTTCACCTTCAATTTTGGCCATGTGGGACAGAGGTTAAAATTCTGAAAAAGTTTGAGAATGAAACCTCAATTACCCTACTATAGCATACATTAAAGTCCAGTTTGTGTATTTGATGTCTTATATTTTTAATTGGCACTTGAGATCTGTGCGGTGATGAAGTTTTAATGGCTATCATCAAAATTGTTGACTTTTCACTTTGATTTTAAAATTACGTCTAAATGACCTATACCTCTCAAACGTGTCAGGGGAAAACTTGTTTTTTCTGCTTGGAATGTTGAAGTACAGTACAGTTGTTACACTATCACTGAACATTTGAAAACTACAGGCCGCAATTCATAACGCATGGTCTTGAAACTTTGCATACTTATTCCTTATACCCTAAGGATGTTTCCTATTGTTTTGGTGCTTGCCCAACCCGGGTCAGAGCCACGCCCATTTTTTTCTTTGTGTGTGTGTGTTTTTGTTTGCCTACAGGCCGCAATTTTTAATGGATTGTCTTGAAAACTAGTAATATATATTCCTTATACTCAAAGGATGCATGTTGGTGCATGCCCGACCCCAGGGACACAGCAACACAGATTTTGGTGTTATCGTCCACAGGCTGCAATTCTGAACTTTTGGTGCATGCCCGACCCCTGTCACGCTCCAGGATGATCCATTCATAATTGCGGCCCCTAGGCGGTAAATATATATAAAAAAAATGGGCGTTGCTAGGCCACTGGGGTCGGGCATGCACTAAAAACAATAGCGGTCATCCTAAAGGTAATAAGTATGAAAAGTTTTCAAGATGATCAAAACACACATCCACGCAAAGAAAAAATAGTTTTATTATCAAATTTTTTCAGAATTTTAATCCCTGTCCCACATGGCCAAAATTTAAGGTGAAAATGGGTATATTTTGTACGTTTTCAGTGTGCAATGAATTTCGAGACTGAATATTTGAAAAAGTATATATCCCATCGACTTAGAATCTTTTGTAAATTGATATAAGACAAACTGACATTAACTATGCCAATGGTGCAAAATTCATAATCTTCACCAAAAGTTGTTTTGGGTAACAAAGTTAGAGAGTTCTACTCCTATTAGAAATGTGAGTTTAAAGCATCCGTAAACCTGAAAAAAATTGCTGAATTTATGATCCGTTTTGGTACCCTAATTTCAAATGGCCATATCATAGCGAGTTTCCAACCTAGAGAGGTAAAAATTCGGATTTCTTAGTTTAAGACCATATACTATAACATATATTTTTTATAATTTTTTTGGAGGGGGTCATGTTCCCACCATTGATTCAGTTGACATGGAATGACCCAGAAGTGGAATTAGAAAGACATATTGTAGGCGAGTCAATACACAATAATTACACGTTACACAGATAGGTAAAGAAAACACTCATAAAATGAAGGGAATAAGATGTCATAACGTCACGTTACTACACGCAATTTAAATAAATCAAAGACAGCACATGATTACAAAGCGCGGAAATACGCCCACACACAGCAGCAATGTCTCGGCAGTAGATTATACGACAGGAAAGCTTGGATGTTGACCAAATTTGATATTTTGGCAGGGGTGGGGAAGGAGAGAGAGAATAACCATGGAATTGAAAGTCGCAGGGTACTAAATATCGACAGCGCCCGTCCTCTAACGGCCAGAAAAGTAAGTGCGTGTGTAGGGGGGGGGGGGGGCCTTGACTCCGGACAAATATAGATAACTATATTATAATATTGAAGAAAAATGTCAAAATACCATATTTTATGGAAGGATAACGTTGCCAATATTATTTCAATGTTCACCGTGCAAAATACATGTCAGCAATTCAAAATACGTGTTTTACACAGTGTTCAAATACAGAATACACTTTTCAATAATACTTAATACAGTATAATAATTATTTTGCACATTACACTTCTCCATTCCGCATTTTGCTTAATCGACAAATGCATAATGGAACTTGGCATATTAGAACATACACCTTATAATATGGGATCTACGACGAAGCTCATTTGCATACGGAAAAAAGTCCGGGCTAGGACAGAAATTAAGAATTATAAGATCGACCGCGTAAATTATTAATTTCCTTCCTAGTCCGGACTTTATTCCGTATGCAAATGAGCGTCGTCGTAGATCCCATATAAGGTATATGTTCTAATTTGCCAAGTTCTATTTTGTCTATTATGAAAAATACAGAACGGAGAAGTGTAATGTGCAAAATAACTATTATACTGTATTTGTATTTTAACACTGTGACAATGGCATTGTGGAGGAATGGAAATTGCAATTTGTAAAACTAAAATACGTATTTTGAACTGCTGACATATGCAGTTTGTACAGTGAACATTGAAATAATATTGGCAACGTTATCCTTTCATAATATTTATCATTCGATCATTTGTTACTTCACTAAACCAAATGTTGTTGAGTATCAAATAGAGAACGAAAATTTCCCAATATGTGGTTATTCGCCCGATGATCAAAATATACATTACAGACGCTTCAAAATGCGACTTTTATACTTATAAATGTTGTTTACGGAGTAAAATGACTATAAGATAATTTTTAAACACTCATACTGGCTAATTTCGTAAGCCCGTGGTATTACGGACAGCTCCATTAAACGATTTCAAAGGAATCCATCTACACGGTCAGTTTTGAGTACGGTCAACCACATATTTAATTATCTTGCCTTACAAATTTAACTGATTATTTTGGAACCCTTTGCGCTCTGGGGTAACTTCTCCGGGCCTTTTATTTCTTTCATTTAGAATTTTGACCTTTCTGCAATTTTGTTAAAAGGCATGTGGCTCTATTTTAATATTATCTAGAATATTCGACATTAAAAACACAAATCGTAATTCGATATTAGCTCATTTCAATCAATATTGATGTTGTAACCTTATCGTGATAATATGGGCTTCTTACGTCGGGCTCTCTATGGTGTCGAGTGCCATGTAATGAGAAGACTCGAAGAACAAAACAAGACGTATCCCACAAATCAATGCGGAAGTAATCAAAAATGGCTGTTCCACAAACAACAAAAAAAGGGAGATAAACTTGTAGACTGGACGAACAAGGCGCGAACGATTACTGCCATTCAATTTGGACAACTCGCCTATCTTAGTGAACATAACTGATTAGAAATTTATTGGCAATCAGTTTATTTACATTCGTAGTACATAAGTATTGCGCTTTCCTATCCAGGGGGTTTGGATGGTCGATTGGTTAGCGCGTGCGCCTTGTATCATAAGTTCTGTCATTGAGTCAACTGGCGTGTTTTCGATTCCCCGGTTGTACGTGACAAGGAGTAGGTTTGCCTGTCCAATCTGGTGGGTTTTCTCAGACCCCCTACGCGCAAGCGAATTATTGAAATAAAATTGAAACATGTGTTAGTCCCGAAATGACCTAGTTTGTGTCGAGCGGACGTTAAACCTCATCTCTCTCTCTCTCTCTCTCTCTCTCTCTTTCTCTCTCTCGCTTACAAAAGGTTGGATGGGTTGAAAAGCGGTTGGGCGAAATGATAGAAACATAATTACCGCTCGAGATGTTTGCGTATCAATTTTATGGATATAAAAATTAAGAACTAATTTGTAATCTATCAGTATATTTGAATTGTTAACATGCATTGGGAGGGGGGGGGGGCTTCATGCTGGTGGAGGTAAAGCCACACGGAAGAAGATCTTACATAGTAGTAACCTTGTTATGGTGGATTCTAGCACTCCTTTTACGCCTCTGCATTCATTAAAATTATACAAAAATTATAAATGACTAATTTAGGACTTATAACTATAAACTAAATCTATACAAGATGACTAGTCATCGCCATCCCGCGCCCTTGCACCCTTTGGGAGGCATGAGGAAAACAACTTCTTAAAATATCAATTCACACTCTGATCACAGTAGCTGCCAGCTGGGCAAGGCAGGGTCGCTATTCCCTATAATGTTTGCACAACAACCTTTGCCTACCACAACCAGCTGCTGTACATGTATGTTAAACAATAAACTTATACATCAGAAAATAAAATATCATAATAAGTTGATGTTTTTACAAAGTTTCAAAAAGATTTCTTGAACAGATAATGAAATATGCTCCGGAAACGAAATCAGGACGGAAGGACAGCCATCAGAAATCAAAATAATAGGTAGATGAATGTTGAAGTGTTATAAGAAAAAAGGTATCTTGAACAGTTTCTGAGATATGCTCTAAAATAATAATTATATATAATCAAAAACTGAGTCAAATGTGTAGTAAAAATTCAAAAATCATTCAACAGAGAAATTTGTTTCCATGGAAATACTAAAATTATCGAATCCAAGAAATATCTAATTAGCACAAGGCACAACTACTATCACAGGTGGATGTTATTATAAAGTTTCACGAAGATCTCTTGAATATAGCAAAATAGGTTGATGTGTGTGCAAAGTTTCAAAAGGATATCTTGAGCGGTTATGAGATATGCTCCGGAAACACAATTGTACACCAAAAACAAGGTTAAATTTGTTTCTATGAAAACACAAAAATGATTAAATCCGAGAAATTCTAAATTAACAAAAGGCACAACTACTATAATAGGTTGATGTTTTTACAAAGTTTCATGAAGATATCTTGAATGGTGTATGAGATATGCCGCGAAAACAAAATTGTACACCAAAAACTAAGTCAAATTTTTTTCCATGGAAACACAAAAAAGTATAAATCGCAGAAATTCCCAGATAGCAAAAGACACAACTAACGTAATATGTGTAAAAAGTTACAAAAAGATATCTTGAACGGTTTATGAGATATGCTCTGGAAACTAAATCGGGACGGACGGACTGAAAGACGGACCCCATTTCAATATCCCTCCCTAACTTCGTTCGGCGCGGGATAATAACATGATGGTGTATCAACTATGCCTGAAACCAAATGGATAGATGCTGATTGTAGCTACCCAAATACTGCCCCCAAGTCTTGTAGATGCTGGTTCCTGAGTTCCTACCTCTCATACAATCCCATTATCTATTGTATAACTGCATGACCAGGGTCGCCCATTGCCAAGCATGTTAAGTCCTTAAAATTTCTGTCCTTAAAAAACCTCACCTTTTAAGAAGATAAAAAACTTAACACTTTAATTCCCAGGTTACGTCTATTAAACGTATCAAGTAAAATTCCAGCGTTAATGGGTTGCATCATGTATGAGATAAATCTGCCTATTGCGGGTTTTTAAGCCTCAAATGTTATATAAATTATTTAAACATTTAATAACATGACAAGCCTATAATTAACCCTTTGGACCACCGGAGAACTCTGATTTTCAGTAGATTAGAACACTGCGGCTATTTAATAGTTGACGATAAAATAGATAATTGAGACTTAGTCTCGACTGTCAAGTAAGGTTGCTACGATAATAAACAACCTACGCAACGATTTGTAAAAACTTGAAACACTCATAATTTCGCATAGAATAAAGTAATTTGACTGAATATTCAACATATTCATTTTGTTAAATATCTTTATTTGAACTGCTATAGGCAGAACGACATAATCAGAAACCTATTGGGTTTTTCAATAAGTATCTACTTTTAAAAAATTAGATTTTCAAGAATAGGCTTTCAATATCTTATTTTGTAAACTATTCATATGACGTGTAAAATCTGCACTATCACAACGTGTAAACGGAACGATAATTACGCAAAACGCGTTCAACTTAATGCTCTAGTGCATAACTAGTGAACAATCTCACCGAATTTTAAACTATTACATTACGATATCTGCCCTTCATTGAGTATAAACAATTCCGTCAATTAAAATTTAGAGAATTAATTTAAATCTAAAATGTACGGTCGAAATTTCTTCGATTTCAAGGATTCCGGTTCCCACTAGACAATCCCACCAAAAACTTTAAAAGTGAAAATATGACCGAAAAGATAACTACAAAAACGCGTTGACAAATTCTGGTTTTTATCAAGAATTGTGTCCTGTATCGCGTTCCCAAACTTTCATAATTTCGAACTTAAACAGAGAGATAACTCGCCCATTTGCTACCGAAAAGTCCTGTTGGCGACTCTATGAACCGTCCCTGCATAAAACCTCTGACCTGTAGAGTGTTCCCAAGAAACTGTGGATGAACGACGGACATAAAATGCGTCCACATTAAACGAGGGCGTATACGAACCCACTATGAGTTCTTTTTTAAGCTTTAAAAGTAAAAAAAATGTGACCAGAAAACGCGTTCAAAAATTTACGATCAATTTTTACGAAACTTGGTACAGACTAGTAATGTATAACAAAATCTAGATACAGTTTGGAAATCATGTGATTCGAACATTTGATTATGAAGTTACTACCTAGATTGAACACAAGCACTTGTGGTCGGTGGACAGTAGAAAAGTATACTACCAAATTAATTATTCTGTTAGCATATAAAATAACTACAATAAATAATAGTGTTCTCACCATGTCTGCTAGAATATCACCTTCTGTTAAAAATACACTATCTATACCTGTAAAGTATAAGAAATGTGTAAAAAGTATTATTATCGTGTAGATTAATTATAGTTTGGATGACAAGGGCAATAACTTAACAAGTAATTTATACAAGACTCGTTCATCAAACAGGTCAACATACTAGTCAAACAACATCCTCAATTTTGAAAAAAAACCCTCTCTTTCCTGTCGAGTGGTTTCACAGTTTAGATTACAAGAATAATAACGCTGTAAATAATAGATGCACAACTCTTAAATTCAACTAAGTTCATGCTTATTACAAGTCAAACAATCATAGCAGTCTGAAATAAATAGATAGTCATGCAAAGCGTGGAATCGCCCACAAAGCAGCTTTGTCTCAAAAAAAAAAAAAAAAAAAGATTGTAGCCTCTATCGCGTTCACAAAGATTTTTTGGCAAAATAGCATAACTCCAAGAAAGAAAGGCGCGGACCTCTATTGCAGTCAGAATGTTTTTTGAAAGTTGTAGTGGGGTGGGGGGATAACCCCGGAACGGAAATTCGCGAAATGCAGAATATCCACAATGCTTCACACCTAGTTTCAAGTACATCCGTGCAAATATGTAAACCCTATTATGTTCGTACACAGTCTTCACACAAGTATCGTGAAATTCGGACAAAAACACAGACCTGAAAGAAGTTTTTATACATTTTACGTAAAATCAAAGGCCATAATTATAAAAATATCCGTATAATTATCCAGAATAGAAATATTCCTCCCTGTGTAGTCATAATAGAACTTTTTTGAAATTTTCAGAAAAATCCCATAAAAACTGTGACCGCAATCATGCTAACAAGTTGTTCTCGCAAATGGGGGAGTAACTCTAAAAATATTACTCAGATTTTGACGAAAAAAATAAGGATTCTTGTTTTATCACAATATAAGCTTACCGAAAGTTTCAGAAAAATCTGATCAATACTCTGGCTTGTATGCAGACAAGCATCCAATTTTGACGGAAAAAAATAGGGATCCTCGTCTTGTCGTCATACAAATTTCCTGACAGTTTTTTTTTTTTTATAAAAAAACCGATAAAAACTGTAGCCTCTGTTGTGCTAAACAAGAAGTGTGGACAGTTTGGCAAAATGGAGTATAATTCTAAAAATATTTATCTGATTTTCACGAAAAGAAATAGGGATCCTCTTCTTGTCAAGAAAGTGTGGACGGGTCGATTTATTAAAGACCCGGGACTGTACAGCGCAGTGGACGCCTACGTCTGGTCCCCCGATCCATTCACTTGAAGTGATAGATTTTGTCTTTTTTTTTTAATCCCTTCAAGTGCTTGCATCGGTTTACTAGTCAGTCAAGTTGGCTGAAAAATACAATACTAAAGATAATTGTTGTGGTTTTATATTCAGATAACCATACATTTATACCTAGCCTTCTCAGCAAATCCTGAGATTTCCTACAATTTTCTTAATCTCTTTAACTTTAACCCACCAAAATCGATAGCGAAGACAGTGGTTTAATATGTGTTTTTGGCATTTGATAAGAGAGCTAAATCAAATTTGGTGGCAACTACATGTAACTGAAACCCCTTAGATATACATGTAGTATACTGTTTGTATGAATGTTTTGTTTTGTTTATGTAATATGTATTATTAAATGTATATGACATATGGACTATATTTAAGTGTATATGTATGCATTTTGTCCATAATGGACGTTTTGGTGCAATAAACATCTTATCTTATCTTACACGTTATTTATCTTCTCACGGGTCTCTATTTATATGATAGCTAGTTGGACGTTGTATATGATTGGCTTGTGCAGCAATTTCGATTGCAAATATCATGTAAGATTTTTCATGATGTATGATTATTAGACTTATTGGATAAAATTAGGTATGCGGAGTAAATAGATTGGGATCTATTAATCTATGGCATCTTACCAACACTTGATTTGCACCTTGTATTTCATTTCACACCATTTCTCTTTTACTAAGTAAGGGTCGCTTTATTTAATATATTCTGATATTTGTTTTATCTTAGATTTTTAATGCACTAATTTTTTAAAGTTTAATCTCCATGTTAGAGGGCCAATAATTATTTCATTAATATTGAACATTTATACTGAAACATTAGAAAGTGATATAAATGAAAACTTCAGATCGCCGTAGCGTCCACTAGGAATGATGGAATTTAATCATGTTAATGCGATATGTACAGCATAGACATGAATTGGGCAGTCAGGAATGGTTGCGAAAGCCATTATGCCAAGCAAATGTTGAGGTTGGCATTAATTTCAGTATTTTCTGTATTTCTAATTTGTATTCCTTTAAAATGAATTATGTACAAGTCTGCCTATTGCAAATGTTGTATAAATTATTTAGACATTTAATCACAAAACAAGCCCATAATAAACTCCCTATAGACCACCGGATGGTCGTGCTTTAATGGACTGAAACACGATTTCCATTTAATAATTTAATTTAAAATTGGATAATCGAAACTTTGTTTATTATCGCTAAAATCCAGCAGTAAGTTTGGAAACTTGCGTCACATATCACACTACTGTATATATTTTCTAAATAATTATTCATTGTTATTTCTATAATTCGTACGGTAAAAGATATTAAGTTAACAGGCTCGAAACAAATTTATAAATAGGGTGTCCTTGGAAACATTGACTTATAGTGAGCAGCACCTTAAAGTAGCCTCCATGGGACCTAAAATTAGGTCATACGTTACATAGCTGAAACTTTCTAGAGACAATGGTATCCATAGTCGGAGTAAATATTTCACAAATCTAACCTAAATTTCTGGGGCTTTCCCCAAGTCAGACCACGCCCAATATCGCCTCACGGGGCTAATAATATGGTCATCAGTTACATGACTGAAACTTAACCAGAAACAAAGATCCACACTTGATAAATACAATTTTTAAAAATGTGACCAAAAATTTGGGGCTTTTCCCAAGTCAGATCGCTCTAAAGTATGTCCGACCACCACACCCTAAAACTGGGACTTTTTATATGGTGCTGCTGCGGCTATACGCCCCAGGAGTACCCGATCTGATCAATTGACTTTTACTCGTACGGACACCTGCTACAAATTTGGGGGGGGGGGGCAAACCTTTTGTAACTGATGACCATATTATTTTGTCATTAGCTCCTGGACTATTAGGGTGCAAAGCTATTTGAGGGATCAAGTCTATGGGTTACGTCTAGGCTAGAAAGATTAATATTTCATCACTTCATCGGCCAATTCAATTGACTTTTACTCGTACGGACACCTGCTACAAATTTGGGGGGGGGGGGGCAAACCTTTTGTAACTGATGACCATATTATTTTGTCATTAGCTCCTGGACTATTAGGGTGCAAAGCTATTTGAGGGATCAAGTCTATGGGTTACGTCTAGGCTAGAAAGATTAATATTTCATCACTTCATCGGCCAATTCAGAAAACAGACTGAAGGTGGCCATCTCTCTCTCATATACAACATGAACAAATATTCATGTTTTCAGAATTGGTTGTACACTACGCCTACGCGGTAAGTAAAGGATAACAGTACAGCCACTTTTTCGGGAAATGAAATGAAATGAATGGGGTTTAACGTCCTGCTGTTCTGCTCCGAACTGGGCTAATGAAAACGGGCATACGCCATACAGTGTGCTATGAGGGAAATTTTGCCCGGGCAGCGGCACTAGGACCTACTCTTATATCGAATTCTAACAGTCAAGGGATCTTTTACGTGCACGCCAATGTGTACACGGGACCCAGGGTTTTCAGGTCCTCCGTCCTGCATCACTGACAAGGGGGAACCACGCCGGAAAATTTGTATGAACTTTCACGGCCAATGCAGGGATCGAACGTCCGACGTCCAGGCTAGCGAGCCAGCGTCTTGCCTACTTAGCCACCGTGCCCCCACTTCTTCGGGAGCTAACATTAATTTGACGTTTCTTCTGACGGTAACATTCGAGGTTGTTTCTGCTGGCTCTAACATTTGAGGTTTCTTCTGTGGTATGTTATCGTCTGGAGATTATAATTTGCTTTAATGGCTGAGGGCTGCAGACTTATCATTACTTATGCAACAAATATATCCTGTCCTATTTTGGACTTCTATTCTTTGACCAGATGCTAATAATAATAAAACAGATAGATCAAGAGCCAGTGACGAACAAACTGCCTCATAAGTATTAGAAGGTTTGATCATATTAATTTGCAGCTATTGATAGGGCAAATTCAAAACACCCAGTATCACGAGGTATCAGTGGGGCATATCCCTAATCTGACTACTTAAATATCACGACCTACCACACCGACAAGGCGAAAACACATTTTGTTATCACTTAAAAATTAAATCTACAAACTAACATTCGATTCAAATTTGGGTCAATTGTCTGTGAGTAGGTTCTGTTTGGTTTATAAACCTTTAAAAAGTTTCTATATCTGGCCTCATTTACACTTGTTAAATGACATTATCCATATATGCGACAAAACAAACTTTTCTATTGTAGGTGTATCTTCGTCATTCATATCGTCACAGCTAGTGATGCAGTGAAAAGCTGGCAAAGCACTGCATAATGATGGTCCTAATTGTCTCAATATACCTCAAAATATTTTTCGACTGGATTCCAATCTCCATCCACACATTTCCGACAAAAGGAATTTCTAAGTAGAATGATCAAACATCTGTAGCTATGGAACGAACATTTTACGTTTGGACAGGTTTGTGGCAGCTATATGAAAAAGCATTCTGGAATCTGCTTCTTCGTGCATACATGTTAATGTATAATCTTTGCTACACTGAAGAGACCCATTTACATGTACATTTGTAAAAATATAACAGTCCGTATCCCGGGTTACATACAAAGTCTTAGATATAATAACTATCAAATAGTCAGTACTCACCCAATTGTTAATTATGTACTACACAAGAGATTTTTTGAACTTGTCAGTTTTTTAATGCTGATGTAAAGTTTGATAGCAGTCTCCTGTTTGGACCTGAAATGGTCACGATCTAAGAAACCAGCACGTTTATCACTCTCATATCCTTTATCGATGGTTTTTCATTTCTATCAAATACAGCATGGATCTCTTGACTCGATACATTACATATTTCAACCAAAATATAACGAGCAATTGCACCAAATGTTAAAGTAAAATAATCATCAGGTCTAATTTATTTTCGATAAAGTAATCGAACCATCATATCTCTCTCCATTTTCATCTGTAGTCGTTATTTTGTCGTTACTTGTAGGTACTGTCAGAAGCAAATGTGCTTGGATTTGACCGTTATATGGGTTTATCAAACCGGAAGGGGTCTGTGATAACTTCTGAAATCAATTTGTCGCAAGACATGTTGCCATTTTCATAAACGTTTAAAGGGAAATTTGTTGACTAATGTTAATTAATATATCTTGCATTATTCTCGAATGGATTGGAAATGTTTACTATTCTTTCGATAACTTTTCAATGATTTTGATGCAATGTGCTGTGTTCTGGATATTAGCTTGTCTCAATTCAGAAGTTACATCTTCAGGCCTGGAAATGCCTAAATGTTCAAACTATATTTGCCCTCATATAATGAGACATGGGTCATTTATGTCTAGCTTCTCTGGAATTTGTAAATGATGATATTATTACCGAAAAACAATAAGTAGCATCTGCATTAACTGTCTGTTCTACGTATGGGAAGGGCACCTCTTTAGAATTCGTCAGATATTCCAGGATGTGTTTCATCTATTTTCACCATATTGTCATGCAACCGGGGAATCCACCTGACATAGTTTAGCTGATATAAACTTGGCATTTCAAAGAGGCCTTATTAAAATAAGTTGTCGCCAACATGAATACCTGGTGAAAAAATGGTAAAATATTATAATTATTTTGAAATACGTGTATCAATATCTGGCTGTTTTCCCATGTTCACTGGCCAGTGTCTTTGTGAATAATCAATTATTTCATTCAGTTCTTTGCAAACATAGTAGCTGTTGAAGAATTTGATTCACAAAACTTTCTGAAATGTAATACTTCCACAGATAAAGCTTGCAAAGGGTGGATGTGTTTACATTGATTATAGTGGGCGCCTGTTAAAAATCAAGTAAGAGAACCATCAGCTATTATCCCAGCATCACTCAATACGAATGGTCCTTCAGATTCTCCAATATACTGTCCAATAGCTTTGACATATGCAATTGGTATGTGGAATGGTCCCTGCATTATAAAGAGGTTATCAAATAGAGGACTTTCTGTGGTCTGAATTGTATATGCCATCTTTTGCAATATCCAAGTCATATGCCACTATTAGGTATTCCTGACCACACTCTTCATCAATCTGTTGGATCTCTTCATTGTTTCCAAAACAAAGTTGAGGAGGGGGGGGGGGGGCGATTGATTGATTTGAGGAAGATAACATATATGTTGTTAAGGAAGGTTATCTTTTACCACAAGTGAATTCCATCCTACAAACATCTGTGTATCAGTAGTTTCTAAAGCATGTGATATCATCCAAATAACATCCAAAAGTTTGCCATCTGCACAATTACTAGGAATAATAGTATAGATCTTCTGGGATAAATCCACTGTTAGTCATTCTATACTGTTATACTCTTCATCGCCATTCCATTAGTCAAATGTTTGGAAGTTTTACTTTTGCCACACGAAACATTGTACATGGCATCTTGAGAAATTGATGCAATTTTTCTTACATTTTTTTCTGGTTATTTTTTTCGTCTCTGGTCAGGCCCTTCTAATAAATGAGTAAAAAAGTTGATTACTAAATCTGGCACAGAAACCTCTCCTTGAATTAAATCCTGCACTGTTAATTTTGATGATAAAGTCGACTTAGGTACATTTAGTATTTCCTTACGTAATACGTATGCTATGTCACGAATCTTTGCTTTCATCGATGATTTTCTGAGAACACCCCTTTAATGGCCTCTTCAACATTCATTCTATTGTTATAAATGATATTTCCTTTAGTATTTGGTGATAACAATGCCAATTTCTCTGTTCCAAAGTAATTCACTATCTTCCTTTCCAAATTGAAAATAGTAAAGTCACCAAATATATTATTATCTTGGCTGCCATCCTCCGAAAAACTGGTATATACTCCCAACAGAATTGCAAAGTACTCATTATACAGTTCTTTTGTTGTGTATATATTTTCTTCTTCAATAATAGATTCATGCATTTAAGATAATGCGTGGCGTGGTTCGAATCCCCGGTTGTAAGTGACAAAGAGTAGGGTCGCCTGTCCAACCTCGTGGGTTTTCTCCGGGTCCTCCGGTTTCCTCCCACTGCTAAAGACCCCAACGCGCAAGCGAATTATTGAAATAAAATTGAACTATATATTAGTCCCGAAATGAACGAGTTTGTGTCGAGTGGACGTTAAACGCCATCTCTCTCTCTCTTTCTCTCTCTCTTTCTCTGTCTTAAATATTGGATATCAGAAGCCCAGCTTTTCAGGGTAACATCAATGTTGATTTAAATATGTTTAGCCTCATTCATCGATCGAGTCGCTTCATACAATTGGCACTCAAAAGCCAATTTTAACAGTTTCATTTTGTCTTAAGTGTTGGATATCAGAAACCCAACATTTCACGGTAAGATAACAACATCAACGTTGATTTAAATTGACCATTAAGTCGTGTTTGCAATGTCGGAAACTGGATGATATTGAGTTCAAGACTTGGCTCCTTTAATGGAGAATCATACCACTTGGAGGCCAGCCATGCTGCATTGAATTTCTACTTTGTAGTTGAAAACTGCAAATTAATAGTGGAGGTATGAAAAGTGAAAGCAAGCATGTGTATTAAACCTTTGGGTGGGTGGTGACAATTAAGTGGTCAGATTAGGAGTTTGCCCCACGGAAAACCATCAGTTTTGATATTCTTGGAACCGACTAATACATAGTTTTAACATTTGGCACCAGATTCAGTCATATTACTTATGAGGCAAATTTTGACCCCATTTGTGGGCGTGGCAGTTTTAGGCACCATTAAATGGTCAGATTAGGGGTTTGCCTCAATGAAACCAGTCAGATTTGATATTTTTAGAACCGTCTCACAATTAGCTAGCATTTGACACCAATTTCAGTCTTATTACTTATGAGACATTTTTGGGGCACCGTCAACACTTTTTAGGGCAGTTATAAAGGGGTGTGGCTCCATTTTATTCCGGTCAGATTTGGCATTTTAAGATTCAGATATAGCACCTCAACATTTCAAAACTATTTCTGAAAGTATTACTTATGATGCAATTTTGACATTTTTTTGTGGGCGTGGCAGATGGGTAGATTTTAAGTGGTCAGATTAGGGATGTGCCCTAATGAAACCAGTCAGATTGGATATTTTTAGAATCGGCTCACACACAGCTAACATTTGGCACCAATTTTCCGGTCAGATTTATATTTTTTATAATCATACATTGTATGCCAACATTTTAGAAATAATTCGATCCTAGTACATATAGAGGCAAATTTGAATACAATATCTACTTCCATTGGGCATAAAACGTTTTACTAACTTAATTACCCAGCTACGGATATTTAAGAGAATAATAATAGCATTTTATTGGAATTGTGTTCTGGCTAGGATTTTCCTTCCGAGTGACAGATGACCAGAATCAAAGCATATGTTTGCAAAAGTTCATCTCCGGAAATTGTATCAGTTAATGCTTACAATCGCTGCCAAAAGATGGCAACGGCGTGTAAATCCTGTAGCTAATGAAGTGCGTATATTTCAAGTGGGTATAATGTTAATGGCAAAATACGTCCGTTTTTGTCAGTTATGGTGACTATTTTGGATGGCGAATGGTTTTAATGGCGAATGGCTTTAATGGATAGGTTGACCCGTATATCCAGTTCTAGCATACCTATCTGAAAATTTTTGACTCTTTGGTGGCTATTTGGCAACCATCTTCGATTTCACGATAACGTCATCCGTTTTCCATCTAGCGGTCGGTTTCAATCTATTGCTTCATCCCTAAAACCTAGGCATAGACACCCGCATTGTCCCCACCCTTAAAATGAACTACAGGGGCGTTATTTTCTGTTACATGAAATAGTGGCCATCTTAGACGCCATTTGAATTTCACCATTCTCTTCCATGATTCTGAGTGGCCACCAAAGTTTTTTGTTACTCCCAAAAGAGGACTTGAAAATACAAACAGGACATACCCCTTCCCCTCCCTCTTCAGTTAATAGAATAAATATCTTTATATCAACTTTAAATTTTGTTGTTATTACTGAAAAGCACAAACCACAACTTACCTATATTTTCCTCTGGATATGTTTCAAAATATGCCTGAAAGAGTGAAATAAATCACAAAATTAACATAGATGTATTAGACGGCATGCATGATTTGCTAAATGATTATATACTATGAAAGACGGCTATGTCTGTTTTATTATATCTATTGTTGTGCTAAAGTTACTATTGCCTATCATATTATAGAATATCCTGCTTTTATTTCTATAGAGCAGACGCTGTTCAATTTTCAGAATAATGATCAATTTTGTTGCACGTAGTAGAAAAACAAACATTAGGACATGCGACTACTAGCGTATGTAGAGCAATATTCTGTCTCGTGACGTTTTCAAGAAGTCTTATGAAGAAATGTACACTTTTTATACGCCCACATTTTCATGTGGACGTGTATTGTCGTCGCCCCTGTCCGTCCGTCCACAATTGTTTGTGAACACTCTACAGCTCACAATTTTTATCCGATTTCAATGAGACTTGAAATATAGGTTTATCACCCTAAGATCTCGGTTCCTTTCAATATTGGCATGTATCGGACTGTAACTTCATGGATGATGGCCCCTGATTTTACGAAAAATCACGTTTTTAGCTTGTGAACACTGTAGAGGTCACAATTTTTATCCGATTTGATCTCAGTTCCTTTCGATATTCGCGCATATCGGACCATAACTTCCTGAATTATGGCCCCTGATTGTATGAAAAATCGCGTTTTTAGCTTGTGGACCCCCTCGTACGCAAATAGTGTAAACATCTGGTATATCAAAGTTGTGGACCCTCTAGAGGCCACAATTTTGATCCGATTTTGATGAAATTGAAATGCAAGTTTATAACCCAAAGATCTCGGTTCCTGTCAACATTCGCGCATATCGGATCGTAACTTTCTGAATTATGGCCTCTGATTGTATGAAAAATCGCATTTTAGCTTGTAGTCCCTCTAGAGGTCGCAATTATTATTCGATTTAAAAAAAATGTTCGAATATATCAACGTTACATCGTAATGTTTGTTGAGTTCGAATTTCGTTAAAATCGGGCCAAAACTGCCGGACAATATGGCCGCCCCTCGTACGCAAATAGTGTAAACATCTGGTAAATCAAGGTTGTGGACCCTTTAGAGGTCACAGTTTTGATGCGATTTCGATGAAACTTGAAACACATGTTTATAACCCAAAATTATTGGTTCCTTTCGATATTCGCGCATAACGGATTGTAACTTCCTGAATTATGGCCCTTGATTGAACAAAAAATCACGTTTTCAGCTTGTGGTCTCTGTAGAGATCACAATTTGTATCCGATTTAAAAAAAAACGTGTGAATATATCACCATTACACACTAAGATCTTGATTCCTTTTGATAATCGCGGATACCCGAACTTAACTTCCTGGATTATGGCCCCTGATTGTTCGAAAAATCGCATTTTTAGCTTGCGGATTCTCTTGAGGTCACAATTTTTTTTCGATTTTAAAAACCGTTTAAATACATCACCATTCCACCATAATGAAGGTTGAATTCGTATTTCGGGAAAATCGAAATGAAACTGCCCGACAAAATGGCCGCTCTTTGTACGCAAATTGTGTAGAAGTGTGTAATACGAAGGTTGTGGACCCTCTAGAGGTCACTATTTTTACCCGATTTTGATGAAACTTAAAACATATCTTTATATCCCAAAGATCTCAGTCCCTTTTGATATTTGCACATTTCAGACCAAAACTTTCTGGAGTACTGCCCCTGATCGTACAAAAAATCGCGTTTGTTTTTAGCTTGTTCTCTATCCATCTCTTGCAAAATGTGGGCGTATCCTGCCTGGCAACCGCTGGTTCCAGATATTACAAGTCAAGTAAGAGAATATGCCACTCGCACCTGAACATAAAATTATCATTTGTTTGTAAAATACTTCATTCCATTATGAGACTGCAGTATTATGAGTTAAACCGTTGTCATAATTGACTAAGCGACTCAAACTTTTGACTGCTCGAACAATTCAAGAATTTTTGAAAACCTATCTGTACAAAACTGATTCGTAGAATGTTAATCCCGTGACGGGCGATCACTCGGCGATTAACTAACGCAAGACCCGATAGGGTTCATCTTTACAATCAGGTTAAACTATTTCAGTCAAATAGTTTATAAAACACTCTCAATGAACGATTGCGTGGCAGGGGCAATATATCAAATAATAATTAATTTCAGTAGAATTGTTTTCATTTATTTAACGTAATCGAGTTTGCGAGCCAATAATAAGATATTCGGTTTTTCCATCGTTCAATTTTAAACATTTTTGTGACATTCAGCATCTAATATCAGCAATACAATTTTCAAGATTATATTTAGTGAGTTAAAATCCCCATTTGATGCGCGTTAAATAGAATGACAAACCATATTTCTTTACAAATGTGCCAAGAGACGATGTAGAGGCTGAAAAGATACTGATCCCTGTTGGACTCCCTATTTCAGTTTTTAGATTTCTTGTTTCCAATAATAATATATTATTCTCTATGTCTAAGATATGATCTGATCAGTTCGAGGATTGAGTCAGCAATACCAAAATCTGAATTCTGGTATAATCAGGATTTAGGTTTCATTTTTTAATAGCTGGAAATACTTGAGCAACTTTAAAACTTTCAGGCACATCAGATGTTTTTTTAAAGATGGATTAATAATGTCAGTAATGATAGGCACTACTTCAGCAAGACATTGTTTTAGGAGTCATGTAGAAATAGGATCTAGCGGGCATGACTTTAAAGGGGGCGATTTTATGATCGCTGAAACACCATCTTCTTTAACGAGTTCAAATTTATGAAGTGAAACTTGTGTGGACTCCATTATTCATTGGCGCGAGTTGGGATGGTAGAAGATCTTTTCGAATCTTAGTTATTTTGTTTACAAAGAAATCAGAAAATCCACAGGCTAATTGAACTGCAGATATGTTTCGGCAATCTGAACGACAGACTCACCCTACCTGCAGAGAAGTGACTCTGACACAGTGAATAACCATGATATCCATATGACGTTATCTAAACGTCACGGGTCATGAGGTCACATCAACAAACAAGTAAACACCATCATTATGATCATTATCAACAGTACAAGACACAATGTTAAATTGTAAACAATAGCCTTCTTGCAGCCTTTAGGACTGTATAATCCGTACAGAACGTCTTATCGCTTCTTCCAATGATTTTTCACGAAAATAACATCATCTACAACTCTAGATTTGACGTCGGCATATTGGCACTATTTTGTGCTTCGGTCGTGTCTATTTCAATCAAATCTGTTAGTGTTTTTAGCGTGGGGATTGACTAAAAGTTAATTTATTTCAGTTCTAAACACAAATTTAAAACTTTAACGCAATTTTAAAAAAATAGCCAAATTCTGGCTGGGATTACTGAGCAAAATGGCCATTCACTGTATACGTGCGAAAAAAAAGCCAGCTACCATTTAATTTTCGTACGTTAGTTACGTACGATGTTTCGGGTGTATTATTATATTATTTCATATAAACCCGAGTAGGCAAAATTTACTAGTATCTCCCAGTATACGTTTTTGGTAATCCAAGCGAACGACCAAATAAAAATCTTAGCTGTGTGAAAGGGTGTCCTGTGTTCTAAAAAGAGTAGGCCGGAATTAAAAATCTTAGCTATGTGAAGGGGTGTCATGTGTTCTAAAAACAGTAGGCCGGAATTAACCAAACTATCGCTCATTTGACCAATGTTTAAGGCACGGAGTATAGCGTCCTCATTTTTTCTCATTTGAGGACCGACTGCTTGCAAACATTAATTTTACTATTGTATTTAATACTAGTCTTGTAACTACTGGTGTCCCGATAACTTCGACTTCTAAGATACCGGTCCAAATTATCACTCCGTTAATATGCAAGGATTGAGGGCATCGTGCACGAAGCATGATAGCCTTTATCTTTCTAGAACACCTGATGACAAATATTTGTAATAATTTTATATTGTATTTAATCGACCTTATACTTATTCGAAATAAACACCACTTGTTGTTTTCTCTTTCGAAAGATTTTATAAATAGAATACAATTTTACACCAGTGACCAGTATTTAATGTGTTCCACGTTATTATAATTAAAGTGGACTGTTAGTATTTTAATTCGTGGCTTACACCTGTTCTCTTGATCACTGGCTAACTTAAAGAATCGTGGCGGTTGCCAATAACCGTTTTTATCATATGATGTACATTTGTTGAGCATTACAAATATTCCCGTGTTGCGTTTTAAATAACCGTCTCATGCCCCAGTAAATAACTTGACGCCATGAGAATGATATTAAAGAAAGACAGAATGTTTCTATACTTAGTTAAATATTGACTCAAGGGATGTTATCATCTAAGACTACCAAGGATTGTAAATTCGCTTAATTCTTATTTAATTTTCATGACTTCTGACCAGTTACAAACTTTCCTTTTTAAAGGACTTGAATCAAAAGATATTATTACAGAGACTTCCTTTGTTTATTCATTTCTTGTCTTTACTTTTACGAAATACTGGGTCATCGTTGTCTACGCCTTGACCTTTTTGTTACAGGTGCGTTTTATGATCTTTTCAGCTTGTACTTATTTTTATATACTGGGCATGTTTTATTGTTACAAACGAGTCTGGAGTCTAGGATAATATATTAAATATTTCATCTTTTTGACCACTACTATAATTATATGTAATTATTTGGGGATATTACGACATACCAGGAACAATGGTACGCTATAAACACGAAGTTGAATTACAATAATATTCTGATATTATTTTTTTTATCGCTTAAATCAAAGTTTGAACTTTTGAAGGAAAAAAAGTCTATGTCGCCCTTCACCATGACGATGACTTTGTTTACACAGATCACGATGGACACAGCTACTCTTTTGATTCATACGTGGTTTGTACAAAATGGTGACATTTCGAGATATTTTCCTATGTGAAAGTTTACAATTTTACTGAAGTTATAATTATAAAACAACAATTAGCCTAACACATATCTAAGTATTATTTAGAATTTGTATTAATTTATTGCTTTTCTTTTGTATAGTGCCGTA